CATCAAAGGCTGGGCCTATCATTGTCTGAGGTTCACTGAGCCTCTACTGACTGTGCTGAACACAAAAAGTGAATTCTCCTTCTGTCTTCTTTTTCATGTCTGCTCCCAGTGTGCAGCCTACTGAGTGATTGAATAACCTTCACTACTAGGCTAGTAGACCCAGTCTGCTGTTTCCAGCCCAGGCAACACTACACTGTCTCACAGCCAGTTAGGCTATAGCTGGAAACCTAGTTAAAACAATGAGGGAGTACACCCACCTATTGCACACACACACACACACACACACACACACACACACACACACCAGCTCGACTTCCCTTGGTCCACTGCTTCAACGTCCTTCTCTCTCCTGGGCGCCGCCAACATTTAATACCAGGAAGTTTTTCTCTCCTATGGGAGTCACAATGTCAAATGGGAAGTATTCGGGATTATGTCATAGCTCGTTATTGTCAACCCTGGGACCATACTGTCGCCGATCTTGATGTTTTCATAGACCTCTGGAAAAGATGTCTGAAAAAGGCTCCCAATCTATTAAAGTTTAGTTCCTTAAGTGGGCCATGAATATCAAACTTGTGGTCATGACAGAATGAAATCTAGAGGACTCTGGGCGGACCAAAAACAATGTACTGTGTGTAAAATATGTCTGAGGTGGTTCCTGTCTGTGTGACATTACACCCGTTTCCTTAGCCTAATATTTATACCATAGGCTAAGCCGATGTATGTTATCTGCAGGTGTCTAAAGTGTTGAAATGTCCTTGTTGTTATTAGATTTCCTGTCTACTGTGCAAAGCCTGTTGAAGAATAGATGCAGCAATCTCCCACTCATTTTCTATTTAAATGCTGTTAAGTAACCATGGCTTTTAAGATAGTATATATCATCGAGTACACTCAGTCAATAGTTAGGGCGTAAGATACTCAAGCTTGACTTCATGGGTTTGGTAATTAAAAGAAGAGTAGTTTATAGCCTTGGTTTGGTTCACAAGCCAAGCAGAGGAGCAGAAAGAAATACTTTTCTATAATGAACTGACATTTTCTCTGCCACTGTAGACTTACTCAGAACCAACCGGCTGAGTGAAAGAGAAGCGGATATTAAAATCTTCCAGCGTAATGAATTCATAAAGGTATTCAAATGCGGCGCATGAGAGAGAGTGGGCTTCCGGATGAGTTAGCTTTACAGGGGGAGGTGTTGGGGGTCACTAATACATTCTCTAATATTGCAGACTGAGTGATTGCACAAACGCTTTCCCCCAAACAGTCACTTTGAGACAGGCATAACAATTAATAAATGTTCTGGTACACTAAGCCCCTTGGGTTTGTTAAAAGTCTTGGAGTGGCTGACTGGATTCTGGTCCCTATAATGTTTAGTACGTCGTTAATGGCTGTCACAGGGTGCTGCCTGAGTAATCCACAGGGGAGAAACAGAACAGTTTAAAGGAACATGGCTCGTCCATATTAACAACCCACCCAGCTACCTCACTCATTCTCACCCCTCAAACATTTGAGATGCTTAAAGGCCACTGCTACCCCTTCCTTTTTAAAATTACCATCGGGGAATTCACTTTTTTCTCTCCAGTGGAACAGATCTGCAAATGGTGTGCATTGATCTAATGATGGTACCTAGTGAAAACAAAACAGTGCAGATGTTTGTCACCTGTGGCTGAGTGAGAGAGGGAGGGAGGGAAGGAAGTGAGAGAGTAAGTGAGTGAGGGATGGAGGGAGGGAGGGAGGGAGGGAGGGAGGGAGGGAGGGAGGGAGGGAAGGAAGGAAGGAAGGAAGGAAGGAAGGAAGGAAGGAAGGAAGGAAGGAAGGAAGGAAGGAAGGAAGGAAGGGAGTGAGTGAGTGAGTGAGTGAGTGAGTGAGTGAGTGAGTGAGTGAGTGAGTGAGTGAGTGAGTGAGTGAGTGAGTGAGTGAGTGAGTGAGTGAGTGAGTGAGTGAGTGAGTGAATGAGTGAGTGAGTGAGTGAGGTGAGAGGAGAGTAGGTGAGTAAATGAGGGAGGGAGGGAGGGAGGGAGGGAGGGAGGAGGGAGGGAGGGAGGGAGGGAGGGAGGGAGAGAGGGAGGGAGGGAGGGAGGGAGCGGTGAAGTGGAGGAGTGCAGCAGAAGGCCTAAGGCCGGAGGGGGATAAATGGTGTGGATCTGATGACAAGGCCTGCCTGTGGGTGTGTCCCAAATGGCACCCTATTCCCTACATAGTGCACTACTTTTGACCATGGCCCATAATGGTCTGGTCAAATGTAGTGCACTATATAGGGCAGGGTTCCCCAACTGGCGGTCCGCAGGTGGTTGTATTTGGCCCCTCAAGTTTTCTGAGCAAATTTATATTTATTTTTCATGGTTGGACATAAAATACTGTAAAAACACCAGGAAATCAGCTCCAAGTGATTTTAATTTTGGAAATCTGTTCCCAAGTATTCTCACACATAATAGAGACGTGATCTTAAGCAAGGTTTGAAATTATTATGTTTTAGTCAAATATTATATGTTTGGGCTTCTTGAGGTCAATTTACAAATTATTTGTAATTATGTTCCGGCACCCCGACCATCTGATCAAGAAAAAATTGGCCCGCTGCTGAATCTAGTTGATGATCCCTGATATATGGAATAGGGTGCCATTTGGGACACAACTTCAGTCACACTCAGGGTAGAGGGAGAACAGTGCTAGAAGTATAACTTATCATAGAAACACTACTCAGGCAAGAGACAGAACGTGTCAGTCTATTTTATTGGCTTTGTCATGGTTTCTCACGTTAGCTGTTGCTGTCCTAGTTTAGCTGAAGCGAGAGAGAGAGAGAGAGAGAGAGAGAGAGAGAGAGAGAGAGAGAGAGAGAGAGAGAGAGAGAGAGAGAGAGAGAGAGAGAGAGAGAGAGAGAGAGAGAGAAAGACAACAGTCAGAATTTCACTTTAGATCACATCTATCTATCTGCTCACATCCATGGCTGCTGTAACCCTCCAAGGGTCACTTGTATACAAGGAATTGCAAGGCAGGATGAGAGGAACACACGCTAGAGGTGTCTTGAGGCAGTTCTAAACTCAAACCAGAACATCCATCCATCAGGAGAAGGGAGGTTGTCTGCACTTATTAAAGGGCCAGTCACAGGACAGGGTGCAGAGAACAAACAGCCAAGATGGCCCAAGTTAAGCTGCCCTAACCTTTTGTTGTGAAAACGTAATCGTCCCTGTAACTGCGAGGCCATTGTGAAAAATATATATTGTTAGCGTGTTTTGTTTGGATTGGTAGGATTATACGTGACATTTCAAAACAGGGGGTTTGTGACTGGGTCTCTGTTGTCGTGTGCATTACTGTCAGGAATGCAGATGAGCCCTAACAAGGTTTAAATCCAGCAGCAGTCATTAGCGGGGAGGTCATCTTAAAACAAATCTGGGGTCAGGCCGTGTTGGGGCCCAAGAACTCAGAGAGCCCTCATTCCACCGAGTCACTAATCAGCATGACACATAGAGACATCAGCACTACCCGCTCTGAGCTCCAACTCCAACCTTCCTTCCCACACAATCAGAGCTCCCCCCTTCCAATGGGGAATTCCTTTGCCTGCTTATTTCATAGACATTCTCATAGGATATAGGATAATAATAATGTATTTATTACATTTATAAAGTGCTTTTCATTATACAGAATAATCAAAGTAAATAAAATAATAAATAAATAGAAATCAAGTGGACACAACTAGACAGGGGAACTGACATAAAGAACACAGCTGACACTAAAAGGGACAAGGACACCAAGGTGCACAGCTATCAACAGAAAGCCTTCCTAAAGAGAAAGGTCTTTAGGGTCGTTTTAAAGGAGCCCAGAGTCTGTGGTGCCTTCAGGTGGTCCGGGAGGGCGAGCTGAAAGCTGAAAGGATATACTCTACTGTATATTCATAACTTCAAGTTCAATTAGTATTTTCCATTTTCTGTGGAAGCTCTGAAGTTGAACTGTATATGCCAGAATTTGTGATTCTGAGAAAATAAAAGCATTGTTTCATTCAGAAGCTAACTGGCCTTGAGGCATGACTGTGTGTGGTTGATACTGTAGATGGAAGTTAGAGTATTATACACCAATCAGTCCATATTCCAGCTCACACCAGCAAGGAGCAATGCACGCCCCATCTGCACAAAGATTTGAATTAATTGTCTTGAGTTTATTATCTTTGCTACAAAAACCTGCCTATGTTTACTTCTGCTTGCTTAACAGTGGATGTTCAAACATGTGGGAGAATTTAAATATTCAGAACTGTTACAATGTACAATTACAAGCGTGACTTCACAGCTCTTCACACCAGGTGCAGCAACAAGACACTTTAATTGTGCAGTAGAAGTAGGGAAAAAAAAGACAAACTTCCAGAGTTTATGCTCAGTGCAACAGATAATTACTCTGCTATAAACCGGGTGTAGCGAGGTTACAGGTACATTTCGCTAAAAGGATTTTTAAATGCCTCAATGCTGTCATTAGGGAGAATAAGTGCTGCTGGTTCGACCACCGTCTCAATGGAATTTATTTTACTTAATTGTAATATACAATATAATAATAAATGCCATTTAGCAGAAGCATTTATCCTAAGTGACTTACAGTCATGTAGGCATACATTTTACGTATGGGTGGTCCCGGGAATCAATCCCACTACCGTGGCGTTACAAGCGCCATGCTCTACCAACTGAGCTACAAAGGACCACATGGATGTCATTCAGAACCCACATGTTGAAGTTTTACACTGGCTGGGCTAATGCTATCTCACGCTGTTTGTACTGTAATTACGAGGTGTAAACATTTAGGAGCCGTGTGAATAGAGTATGTGTGTGTGTGTGTGTGTGTGCGTGTGCGTGTGACGATATGAGTTTGAGAAAAAAATACACACTTAAACATGCAACCAAGTGCATGGAGAAAAAAGTTTATACACATTGTAATTTTTTTTACAGCACACTGGTGTGACGATGTGAGTGCAGAGTGGGTTTGCCCATCACTTATTGACACGTCTTGTTCCAACAGCTCCCTCCCAAGTCAGTGAGGTCATCAGGGAGAGAGTGCAGCAGCGCAGTGTCCAGCTCTCCTGGCAGGAGCCTGAGCAGCCCAACGGAGTCATCACCGAATATGAGATTAAGTACTACGAAAAAGTGAGTGTGTTTGAGAGAGAGTGTGTGTGTTGCCTGTGTGTGTGTGTGTGTGTGTGTGTGTGTGTGTATGTCTCTGTGATTTTGTTACAGCTTTGAACACAGACAACTCTGGCTCTCCCAAACCCTACCCACCCCCCACCCCCATCTCTCTCCTCTCCTTTTTAGTTTCATTTTGCCTACCCTTCATTTCATATTCTATCTGCATGCCGTGGCGAGTGGGATCGGTAGGATTCTGCGAGGACATCCTTTGTCCCATAATTGCAATAATGAATGAGACGCTCATAAGATTTTAATCAGTCCCTGGTCCTTCACAGCCACCCACACACACACGCCAGGCAGCACCCACCTTATCGTGCTACTCTGCCATCATTGACAATCTGTTTCTGTATCTTCCCTCTCTCCTTTCCCCCCTTCACCCCCTCATATATAATATAACCTCAGCTCCCGTGTCTCCTAAGTCTGAACAGATGAGCAAGGTAGCGAGGGGGTTGAGGAGGTTGAGGAGAGTGGGTTTAACACAACAAATCAAAGGGCTAGATTCCATGGCTCCTGATGTTCGAGGTCCTGTTGGCCACGGCCTCTCAGGCTGCCAGGATTCAGTCTCCTGTGTCACGTACTGTGGCTGTAGTCTGCCCATCTGTAAAATTGGAAGCAAGCATGACTTCACTCCTAACAGGCTTTGGCATTCCATTTGGTTTTTTTGCCGAGAAAATCATTTACAGATCAACAACAAAAGACACAGTACACGCAGTCTGTAAATTCCAAACGGATTCTGAGCCTGGCATTGCAGAGCTTTTTTTCTGCCAATGGCTTTTGAGATCACGAGTCTACACAGAGAGAATCATTCTTTAACCCCAGATAGGGTTAAATAGTTCATTAATAAATCTTCTGAAATATATATCATATATAAACACCAGACAAACTGAGGCATTCAAACATTTACAGACACATTCTGACTGTATCTTGGTGTCTTGATTGAGTCAATTCATACATCATCTAGACACACTGGTGTCTATGGTTACAAAATGACAAGATGATCATAACACAAAGTCTGTTTGTTACTCTCTATAGGACCAGAAGGATCGGATCTACTCCACAGTGAAGTCCAGATCCACGTCAGCCACAGTGAACAATCTGAAGCCCAGCACTGCCTACGTGTTCCAGATCCGAGCCTTCACCACGGCCGGCTACGGCACCTACGGACCCCGGCTGGAGGTCACTACCAAGGAGGAGGCCTCAGGTACCAGCAGAACACATGCACAGGCGTGTACACACACACGCATGCAGACACACACACACACGCATACACACTAGAGATGATTAGTGTGTAGACCTTCATCAAAATGCCACTAATCTCATAGCTCCATTTATCCCATTAAGAAATATAGTTGAGTATCGTCCACAAGGAGCAGTAGGTCCCAATTAAAGTGGCAGGGCTCAGAAATCATTTCTCTCCTCTCTCTCTCTGGTGTTTATGTAGCAACTGAACTCACTTGATTTAAAATGCAGGAATTCTCCCAGTCATACACCATGTGCACTGACAGCCTAAAGTGCCATAGCACCCATTCTTTTGAGCAATTGGTGGTTTGTCAATGCAAAAAGTCTTAACAGTGTAAGCAGCATCTGAATGGGAGACAATCCAACCCGAATGTGTCATTGTTTCAGAAGAAGGGCACCAGCATTACCATCAGGGACCGTTAAGCCCACTTTCTGAAACAGTGGAGCCGTGCATGCAGAGGGACCAGAAATAGAACTAGCCCTCCTTGTCTCTCTTGTAAAGGGTGAGAAGGGGGTTATCAGGCTCCCCGCTCGCTACTCATTGGTTCTATTATGTCCTGTAGATTCCAACGCCTGATGTGCTGAAAGTTCACACTGTGTGCCCTTTGTCTGTGTGTGTTTGTTTGTGTGTGTGTGTGTGTGTGTGTGTGCGTGCGTGCGTGCGTGTGTGTCCCTCTCCAAGCATCCACCATTGTCTCCAGCGAGCAGAACCCCGTCATCATCATCGCGGTGGTGGCAGTGGCGGGAACCATCATCCTGGTCTTCATGGTGTTTGGCTTCATCATTGGGAGAAGGTACGCTCTCGCGGGCCCCATTGACTCTCCACTGCTGTGAGTCTCTGCTTGTCAGTTAGCCTTTCTGTCACTCACAGGCCTCCATAGCCGTGGAGTCAGTCCACCACACACCACAGGCACCCATCATCTGTGGCATGCTGTGCTAATGGATTGTGATGCATCATTTTCCAGTCCTCACACTGTGAAGAACAACTGACTTGGTTTTTAGCATGTTTATTTTTTATTTTTTGTAATGGATCCATTATAGAGACAAAAGTACTCTAAAATGAAAGCTTTTGTCTCCTCTTTGTGTGTGTGTGTCTTTGTGAGTGTGTGTCTTTGTGAGTGTGTGTCTTTGTGTGTGTGTGTCTTTGTGAGTGTGTGTCTTTGTGAGTGTGTGTCTTTGTGAGTGTGGACGTGTTTAACTATACTTGTGGGGACCAGAAATATTTACAGAAATATTTGACCAACTGGGGACATTTTGTTGGTCCCCACAAGGTCAAATGCTATTTCTAGGGGGTTTAGGGTTAAGGTTAGAATTAGTGTTAGGGTTAGGAGATAGGGTTAGTTTTAGGGTTAGGGTTAATGTTAGGTTTTTGGGTTAAGGTTAGGGTTAGGGTTAAGGTTAGGGTTAGGGTTAGGGTTAGGGTAAGGGTACGGGTTAGGGTTATGTTTAGGGTTAGGGGTTAGGGAAAATAGGATTTTGAATGGGACTGAATTGTATGTCCCCACAAGGTTAGCTGCGCAAGACTGTGTGTGTGAGCGTGTGTATGTCCGTGCCTGCGTGTGTGTGTATGTCCGTGCCTGCGTGTGTGTGTGTGTATGTCCGTGCCTGCGTGTGTGTGTATGTCCGTGCCTGTGTGTGTGTGTATGTCCGTGCCTGCGTGTGTGTGTATGTCCGTGCCTGCGTGTGTGTGTATGTCCGTGCCTGCGTGTGTGTGTATGTCCGTGCCTGCGTGTGTGTGTGTATGTCCGTGCCTGTGTGTGTGTGTATGTCCGTGCCTGCGTGTGTGTGTATGTCCGTGCCTGCGTGTGTGTGTGTATGTCCGTGCCTGTGTGTGTGTGTATGTCCGTGCCTGCGTGTGTGTGTATGTCCGTGCCTGCGTGTGTGTGTGTATGTCCGTGCGTGTATGTGTGTGTTACATCATTGGTGTTAAACAGTAATACACTCATAACACTGCCTCTAGCCGTCTCATCCCAGATCAACCCTCCAGTGTGTCAGTCACCATCCCTGCTCTCTTCCAGTTGTACTTCATTTCTATGTGGATAGCATTTCATCACAGCATGCCTTACATGGGGGTAGAGCCATATACACATGTGATTTCTATATCCATTTGACATTAACCTGCATGTCAATCATCTGTTAATTGATGTTTCCACGCCATCATCAGTTCAGTTTGTTAGCAAACCATATTGTACAGTGCCATAGAACAACCATGTACAATGAATTACCTGCCCGAGGGGGCATTCAATACATGAATGTTACACATTAATATAACAAGGAATGCTAAACAGTCTTTTACAGAGTATATATATGTAATACCAGAGGTGGGCACTTTAGTTCAACATCAGCAGCCAAACAGTGTTCCCATGTCTCTCAGCTGTATCTGTACCTGCAGCATTATGGCGCTTCATTAAGATTCTAGTAAAACAGACAGTCTTCTGCCTCGGCCCAATCAGTTGATTGTGTGTTCCTCCGCCTCTTTCCCTGTCAGGCACTGTGGCTACAGCAAGGCAGACCAGGAAGGAGACGAGGAGCTGTATTTCCAATGTGAGTCCCTTCTTTCCCCATCAGCTCACACACACATTGAAACATCTCACTTACAGCATGCGCCTGCCCGACACCTCACAGGAAGTTGGTCCAACAACAAGGCCCCCACGCCGTAATGTACTATCCTTGTTTCATTTGACATATACAGCTGTGGAAAGAATTAAGAGACCACTGCACATTTTTCTTAAATCAGCATCTCTACATGTATGACAGCCATTCCATTCCAGTATCTGTTGAATTCCAACACAGGCACACCTCATTCTACTGAATTAGGTACTGATTAGGTGATCACCTGAACCAAATCTTATTTAACGAGGAAAAGTATAAAAACCACTGCTTTGGTCATCACTATCCTCTTGCAATAGGACCAGCTGGATGGCAAAAACAGTGCTAATAATACCACAAAAGTAATATTAATAAAAAAATAACTATTGACATGCCAAAAGAGTTGAAAAATAAAGTTTTGAGTGAGGAAAGGAAGGGTTCCATTCTGGCTTTACTGGCAGAGGGATACAGTGAGCGTCAGGTTGCTTCCATCCTTCAAATTTCAAAGACGGCGGTTCATAAGAACAAGGTCAAGCAGCAGACATTGGGGACAACAAAGCTACAGACCGGCAGAGGGCGAAAACGACTCTCTACTGATCGGGATGACCGCCAACTCATTCGAATGTCACTCAACAACCGTAGGATGACATCAAGTGACCTACAAAAAGAATGGCAAACGGCAGCTGGGGTGAAGTGCACGGCGAGGACGGTTCGAAACAGGCTCCTAGGGGCAGGGCTGAAGTTGTGCAAAGCTAGAAAAACCCCTTCATCAATGAGAAGCAAAGAAGAGCCAGGCTGAGGTTTGCAAAATACCATAAGGATTGGACCGTAGAGGACTGGAGTAAGGTCATCTTCTCTGATGAGTCCAATTTTCAGCTTTGCCCAACACCTGGTCGTCTAATGGTTAGACGGAGACCTGGAGAGGCCAACAAGCCACAGTGTCTCGCACCCACTGTGAAATTTGGTGGAGGATCGGTGATGATCTGGGGGTGCTTCAGCAAGGCTGGAATCGGGCACATTTGTCTTTGTGAAGGACGCATGATTCAAGCCACGTACAAGGTTGTCCTGGAAGAAAACTTGCTTCCTTTTGCTCTGACATTGTTCCCCAACTCTGAGGATTGGTTTTTCCAGCAGGACAATGCGCCATGCCACACAGTCAGGTCAATAAAGGTGTGGATGGAGGACCACCAGATGAAGACCCTCTCATGGCCAGCCCAATCTCCAGACCTGAACCCCATTGAAAACTTCTGGAATGTGATCAAGAGGAAGATGGATGGTCACAGGACATCAAACAAAGCCGAGCTGCTTGAATTTTTGCGCCAGGAGTGGCATAAAGTCACCCAACATCAATGTGAAAGACTGGTGGAGAGCATGCCAAGATGCATGAAAGCTGTGATTGAAAATCAGGGTTATTCCACCAAATATTGATTTCTGAACTCTTCCTAAGTTAAAACATTAGTATTGTGTTGTTTAAAAATGAACATGAACTTATTTTCTTTGCATTATTCGAGGTCTGACAACACTGCATCTTTTTTGTTAATTTGACCAGTTGTCATTTTCTGCAAATAAATGCTCTAAATGACAATTTTTGGGGGCGAATTTGGGAGAATGTTGTCAGTAGTTTATAGAATAAAACAAAAATGTTATTTTTACCCAAACACATACCTATAAATAGTAAAACCAGAGAAACTGATAATTTTGCAGTGGTCTCTTAATTTTTCCACAGATTTTTTTATGAAAGCTGGGAACAATCACACTAGCATCTGGTTGGTATTTGATGGACAAATCTATTGAGATGAGGACATGAGGCCTAGCTCCAAACTGCAAACACATGAATATGAGCATTGTCAGAGAATGGGATCCAGGGCAGAGCTGAAAGAGAGAATTCCTCATAAAAAATGTAAAGACCCAACTTTTCAACCACTTTGGTAAGATAGGAGGATGCTGTTGACCTCCTGGTGGTGCTCGGAGTAGAGATTTAGAGATGTACACACACATTTACTCTATCCCAAGGTTCCTCTTCTAGGCTCCTTTAACCTATACACACACACACACACTGACACACACCACCCTGTCCTAATGATGCCCCTGGAGATGCAGCCGCAGACATCTTCCCAAGCGAAGCCGTAATGATCTGCTGCTGTAGGCAAACTGCTGATTGTGAAACAAAGGGTCAGAGTGTCACATGGCCACAGCGGTAGAAAGACGGCTGTGCTGGCATTTCGTGATCCTCAGCTGATAAGTATCTGACAGATCAAGCTGCAGGAAGGCACAGGTCCTTCTGCTAAAAACACTGGGAGATGGAAACGCAAACAAGAGCGCCTAATAGAGGGACTGCCAGGGCGACAGAAGCCAGATAGTGTGTGAATTCAACATGTAGGCCCAATGTAGGCCCGTGATAAGACGTCTCCCTATCAGATCCGGTGACAGCTTGGATGGACAAAGCAATTATAGGATGGATTGGAGGGAAATATCAGCTGCCGTCGCTGGAGCTCCTCGCTGGAACGCAATGCATTTGTGTATATGTTACTGGATAGGCCAACATGGCTTTCCAGGACGTATGCAGAGGATATTACAAAAAAAAGTATTTCTGTTTGTCATTATTGAGCCTGGAGCTGATTAGTAATTTAATGATGGTGTTTTGGTGTGTCTGTTTGTTATAGTCTTCCACTATGTGCATCTCATTAAATAGCTTGTGGTATTGAAGTTGGCAGGTTATGTTGTAATTAGGGAGAATTTGATATGAAGAAATTAGGTCAGTGGAACACACTCATCTACTAGAACCGTGTAATTTATTAGTGTGGTGTTACGTACATGGGAAGAACTACACCGCTTCTTTCTCAGTCAGTGGCTTTTTTTTACCCTACAGATGTAGGATCTTAATTTGAACCAGTTTGCTACAGCAGGAAAATAATCCTGTAGCAACAGGAAATGTGAATTATTATGTGGATTATAATTAATGTAATTATTTATAATCCACATTTTTCGTTAGGGCAAATCAAGTTGAAATATAGTTGAAATTACAAACTTTAGAAGCCTTTTTAAACTTCAAATACACTACACGTTTCCATTTCTCAGCAAATTGTGATTGATCAAATTAAGATCCTACATCTGTATGTTTGCATGAATATGTATGAACCTTTCCAGTATCATTGCGTTAAAATCGTAATATTGTACTAGTTGTGATAGAACTACAGTCACCATTATCTGCGCAGCAAAATTCAGAAGGTTATCAAGTCAAAGACCATAAGAAAATAACTGTCTTCTATGACTCGTATTACATTATATCAGGGCTTGCCTTACCAGACTTTTAAATTCACTGGCAGAGCTTGACAGACTTAGCTAACTCAAAGCCCTGCTCAGTATAGCATACAACTTTAGCAGTAAATCCCATTCCGGGCTGCTGAAATCCTTGTCGCTCCTTTGTGAGGAGGTTAGGAAGAAAATATAATCATGTTTTCATTTCTATTGGAGGAAAAGGAAAAAGGAGTAAGATAAAATAATAAATGGCTGGTTTAGGGTGTTTGTAGAAATACCTTTTGACACAGATGCTTTCCATCAGCTGGGTGTTTAGCAATTCCTTCTGAATGGTTGCCCTTGGTAATGGTGTGCCTGTCAAGCGCCTGGCCAGCCTGGCGCTCTGTATGCATATTTAATCGTAACAGTAATCCCCTTACCTTTCTACAGTTAAATTTCCAGGCACCAAAACATACATTGACCCTGAAACCTACGAGGACCCGAACAGGGCTGTCCATCAATTTGCCAAGGAGCTGGAGGCGTCGTGCATTAAGATTGAGCGAGTTATTGGAGCAGGTGAGTCTGGCTGGTGTCTCCCAGCTCTCTCTGTTTAGTTACGTGTACTCATATATCATAATGACAGCCACATATTTACACCTTGACGGTTGACACGGTTTATTCTTACCGTATATATTGATGGCGCAATTGCAAAAGGGGGGAAAAGTTCATGTGTGGCCCTGCATCTTTTTAAAATGCAAGACAATAGCTAAGCTGCTCACAGCTGATAAATTGCTGCCACATCAGTTTTAGAGATGAGGTCAATGAGAGTATCTATATATCCACAGCTTGTCTTATTACGTGTCTCTGGTACACTCCCCAGTGCATAACAAGATGTCCTACTCCAATTTGTATTTTCCCACAGCACAGCTTTTTTAATCTGAAAACACACTAAGTATTTTGTCAAAACATGAAATGCTAGTTTTTCTTAAGGGTCATGACTCATGACTGGTTATGTATCTGTCTGTCTCACAGGAGAGTTTGGGGAGGTGTGTAGTGGACGGATGAAGCTCCCAGGGAAACGGGACACGTCAGTGGCCATTAAAACCTTGAAGGTGGGCTACTCAGAGAAACAGAGGAGAGACTTCCTGTGTGAGGCCAGCATTATGGGCCAGTTTGACCATCCCAATGTTGTCCATCTGGAGGGAGTGGTGACCAGAGGTAAGGACTGCATTCTTCCACACGCACACTTGCACACACACACACACGCACGCATGCACGCACACACACACACTCGACTGAAGCAAGAAATTAGAGCAAGTGCACTCGAAGACCATGCTTTAAGGTCACATAATATGTCAATAGATTTCATTTCAAGTCTTAAATTGCTACAAAGAGTCATTATAAACTGAGTGTACAAAACATTAGGAACTCTTTCCATGACATAGACCGACCAGGTGAATCCAGGTGAAACCTATGATCCCTTATTGATATCACCTGTTAAATCCACTTCAATCAGTGTAGATGAAGGGGAGGAGACAGGTTAAAGAAGGATTTTTAAGCCTTGAGACAAATGAGACATGGATTGTGCATGTATGCCATTCAGAGAGTGAATGAGAAAGACAAAACATTTAAGTGCCTTTGAACAGGGTATGGTAGTAGGTGCCAAGCGCACAGGTTTGTGTCAAGAGCTGCAACACTGCTGGGTTTTTCACACTCAACAGTTTCCCGTGTGTATCAAAAATGGTCCACCACCCAAAGGACATCCTGCCAACTTGCCACAACCGTGGGAAGCATTGGAGGCAATATGGGCCAGCATCCCTGTGGAACGCTTTCGACACCATGCCCCGACTAATTGAGGCTGTTCTGAGGGTAAAAGGGGGTGCAACTAAATATTAGGGTGGTTTAACTAATGTTTTGTGCATTTAGTAAATAACGTGAATGTGTGAAAAGGTTAAGTTGCCAGACGAACTGTGAGAGGAAGACCTGAGAGGAACATTGTACAATATATTTAGCTAGCTATACAATGTGAAAGTGCTGCAGTCAAAAGGAATGACATTGAGAAGTATCTGATTGAATTAGCCTTGCTCCCTGTTTTACATTTTCTCATTTAGACAGCCTAATATAAGGGGCAGATGTTAACACTTAATTACAAACAAACGGCTCAAAATAACACTGAGGCGGAAGTGTATTTTTAGCAGGCCGTCATTAATAAACACTTGTAAGCCATATTTATGAGTCAATTAACGGAATGTGTCATCCTTGTTTTCAGGAAAACCGGTGATGATTGTGATTGAATATATGGAAAACGGCTCATTAGATGCTTTCCTCAGGGTGAGAACCTTTCAATGCATTCAAATGGTAGTAGGTAAATAGCCTCCCTACCCCTGTAGATAGCCTCCCTAGTGGTATTTTATTTTTCTGCTACTCTTTAACTATTTGTTATTTGTTATTTTTTACTTATCTATTTTTTACTTAATACTTATTTTTCTTAAAACTGCATTGTTGGTTAAGGGCTTGTAAGTAAGCATTTCACTGTAAGGTTGTATTCGGCGCATGTGACAAATACTATTTGATTTTATTTTATTTGAAATGGCAACTCCCTAACCAGTTATACATGTATAATACAGTATGTTCACAATAAGAGCTTCTTATTCTATGAATAAAAGTGCTGCAATACCTTTGTGACCTGGATCTCAGTGGATCTTGATTAGCTGTCGGTTGTCCTCTGTTGTGTACAGAAACACGATGGTCAGTTCACAGTGATCCAGTTAGTGGGGATGCTGCGGGGCATAGCAGCAGGGATGAGATATCTCTCTGACATGGGATATGTCCATCGAGATCTGGCCGCACGAAACATCCTTGTCAACAGCAATCTCGTATGTAAAGTGTCTGACTTCGGCCTGTCAAGAGTGATCGACGACGATCCTGAGGCTGTCTACACAACAACGGTGAGTTAATTAAGCCAGCCCCGTATTGCTTTCTTCCCTTCCTAGACACCTTGCACTCTCTCTGAATACTCAAATCCAGCCAACAGCCAATGCATGAAAGTTTAGTATAAAATATGGATGCATGCCCATGCACGCCTGTGATAGCTAGCTATTCAATATGCAAAGCATGCAGTCTCTTTGGTAGAGTTTTTGCTTTGAAAGTTTTGAAGTTTTGCTGACCCTGTGTGCAAAGTTGTAACTCTATTTTAATTGATGTTTTAGGGGAAGATGCAGGATATAATGAATTTGATCTTTACTCCAGCCACTGACCTGCATTTTACTGAACAGGGCGGAAAGATACCTGTTCGATGGACAGCAATGGAAGGCATCCAGTACCGTAAATTCACTTCCGCTAGTGATGTGTGGAGTTATGGCATTGTCATGTGGGAGGTCATGTCCTATGGGGAACGGCCTTACTGGGACATGTCCAATCAAGATGTGAGTTGCTCTCTAACATGAAGTCAATTATACACCAAATGTCATGTCAGATTTCGCATGTAGCTCAGGGACTAGCTACCAGATTGCCCAGGGGTTAACAGAATTAACAGAATTCTAATAAATTATTTAAACATGGGCCACAATTACTACTCAGAGTTGAATGAGGTGAATTGTTAGGTTGTAATTCATTCCGTTTTAATCAGAGATTGATATTCATAAAATGTATATATGATAATATAAAGAAAAAGAGTAGCTACTTGGCAAACAAAATACATTTTTGACTTCAAAACGGCTTTTAACCTTTATAATGAGTTAGGATAATGAAAACCAAATTTGGCATTAGCTGAGTTCAATAATTCCAGAGCTATTTACTTAGTCATGTAGAGCTTTTAGTTTGAACTGCAGTCATTGCTTTGTTTCAGCTAAATTGGAACAGATGAACATTGCAAAGCTGTTCATCATGCTGATCGCAAAGTGGCTTTAGAGGAGTTTGGCCGCCGATTCGAACACCAGTAACGATGATACTTACATATGTAGGATCTTAATTTGAGCCAATTTACTACAGCAGGGAGAAGAATCCTGCAGCAACAGAAAATGTGAATTATTATATGGATTAGAATTAATGGACATTTTTTGTAGGGGCAAATCAAGTCTGACATTTTAAAGTGGAAATAAACTTTAGAATCCTTTTTAAACCTTGAATACACTACAAGCATATACCGGCAAGCGGTACCGGAGCGCCAAGTCTAGGTCCAAAAGGCTTCTCAACAGCTTCTACCCCCAAGCCATAAGACTCCTGAACAGCTAATCATGGCTACCCAGACTATTTGCACGGCCCCCACACCCCCACCCCCCTCTTTTACGCTGCTGCTACTCTGTTTATTATTTATGCATAGTCACTTTAACTCTACCCACATGTACATATTACCTTAATTACCTCGACTAGCCGTTGCCCCCGCACATTGACTCTGCGCCGGTACCCCCCTGTATATAGCCTCCCTACTGTTATTTTATTTTACTGCTGCTCTTTAGTTATTTGCTTTGATTTTTTTTACTTAACACTTTGATTTTTTAAATTATTTTTAAAAAATGCATTGTTGGTTAAGGGCTTGTAAGTAAGCATTTCACTGTAATGTCTACACCTGTTGTATTCGGCGCATGTGGCAAATACAATTTGATTTGATTTGATTTGAAGTTTACATTTCCTGCTGTGCAGGAACATTCTCAGCAACGATTGAGAGTGATCAAATTAAGATAGTACATCTATAAGTAGTAAAATGTTTTAATCCGCCAATGTTTGCAAGTACTAGTCTGGAAGATGCTCCAGTGTTAGTTTTCTCCCTTGGCGAAGTTAAAGATGGTATAATCCAGTAGGACAAACAGTCTTCTCCTCAGCAGAAAAAACTAAAAAGGATTATGTTACTCTCAGCTCCTCCTAATGGGAAGCCTGCTGATTGAACAATCAGCTGTTAGAAATGTTAAACATGATTGTCCATTTTAGTGCTTGACAGGCATCAATGTCAGGGATTTCAGTTCCTCTGTCAAGATGTTGGCTAACAGCTCCTCTGGGATACAGAAAGAGAAATATTTACATTTCCTCAACAGTTTTACTGTTTTGATACTTTTCCTTCCGTAGTTCAGTCTTTTTGAATATCCCTGACAGGAATAACAGATGAATATTTGCAGAAAATAAACCCTTGAATAGAGGAAGAGACGGTTGAGTCTCAAATCAAAGTTGCCCATTGCCCCTAATGTTTAATGTTCTCATGCCTTAGACTTTCAATGGACCTGGTTTTTAACTATTGACACAGTGAGAATATATGTAGTTTTAAAGATATGCATATACCCCCTATTGATGAGACAAACAGTAGAAATGATGCATCTAAAGGAAAAAAGAGCCACTGTTGGCTAGATTAATTACAATCACTTCTATTGGTACAGTATAACAGACAGGAGCAGCTCTTCCAGAGACTAATCTCTGTGCCATACAGGGACATACAGGGTGCTACTCTCAATATCTCCTCATTTGGGTCCTGCTACTCTGTGTCCTTGTGTCTCACAATCATCTTAACAAGCTGACACTGAGCGATCACGTCCAGTTAGGCTTGTTTCTCCTCGATGTACCAAGTCTGTAAATAGGGAACCACATAAGACTTGTGTAGCTCAGTTGGTAGAGCATGGCGTTTGCAACGCCAGGGTTGTGGGTTTGATTCCCACGGGGGGGCAGTATGAAAAAATAATGTATGCACTCACTAACTGTAAGTCGCTCTGGATAAGAACGTCTGCTAAATGACTAAAATGTAAAAAATACTGACACTTCCTGTTTACAACCATCTTGATTAGAGGATGAATGGTAATGAACTTGAGTTAATGTGGTGGTAATGGCCCTTAAAGACTCTCCTGTGTTTTGGTTTTCCCAGGTGATAAAGGCAATAGAGGAGGGGTACCGCCTCCCTGCTCCCATGGACTGCCCTCCAGGCCTGCACCAGCTAATGCTGGACTGCTGGCAGAAAGACAGGGCTGATCGACCCAAATTTGATCAAGTAGTTGGCATCCTTGATAAGATGATTCGCAATCCCAATACCTTGAAAACCCCGGTGGGAACATGCACGAGGTAAGGAAAGCTTGTCTCATTAACCCTATGACTGAGCACTACAAAGCTCCAATGGAATACATTTAATTATCAGCTTCAGTTATTAGATTTGACCATGTTAGCTACAGATGTAGGATCTTAATTTGACCTACAGGTAACTACCAAAATAATGGAAACACTTGAGTAAATGAGGTATACAAAGTGTATTGAAAGCAGGTGCTTCCACACATGTGTGATTCCTGAGTTAATTAAGCTATTATAAAAAATGCTGGGCAGGCCATTATTTTGGCTACTATGGCTAGGATGAAAATGCCCCCATCCACAGGGCATGAGTGGTCACTGAATGGTTTGATGAGCAGGAAAATTATGTAAACCATATTCTATGGCTGTCTCAGTCACCAGATCTCAACCCAATTGAACACTTATGGGAGATTCTGGAGCGGCGCCTGAGACAGGGTTTTCCACCACCATCAACAAAACACCAAATTATAGAATTTCTCGTGGAAGAATGGTGTCACATCCCTCCATTAGAGTTCCAGACACTTGTAGAATATATGCCAAGGTGCATTGAAGCTGTTCCAATGCCCTATTAAGATCACTTCTGTTGGTGTTTCCTTTATTTTTGGCAGTTACCTGTATATTGTCACAGCAAAATAATCCTGCAGCAACAGGATTTGAACATTTAGTTAATAATATTGCTTGATCAGTGCTTAGGCTATTAGCCAGCTAAAAGTAGGCTACATGTAAAGTGCTATACTGTTAATATAACCGTGTGTTAGTGTGGGTTTTCAGTGAATTTATGTCAATCACGAAGCTCATCTGCATTTCCTGTGGTGCATTCTCAGCAACAAAAGAGTGATCAAATTAAGATCCTACATCTGTATAAGACTCTGGAAGTATGTATTGTTTCTTCATATTTAATTCCTATGGAGCTACATTAGTGGACAATTCAGAGCATCCAGTGGTTGATTTATCCACAGGAGTTCACAGATGAAAGATAAATCCCTGAGAATCAATAAGCCAAAGCAGCTTCCATGGCTTTATGGTCAATAGCAGGGCTTTTAAATCAATCCCTGTAATGAGTTCCTGGGACTTTCAAGTGCTTTGGGAACTCTGGACCCCACTGTGACATTTGTCAAATTAATTATATTTACAGTCGGAACACAATCTCCCTGGGTGAGATTGAGAACGTAACCCCCCAAAAAATGTAAAAAACGCTTCCGTTTCTGGGAGCCATTTGTGGGGGTTTGAAGCAAAAAATGCCAATCCAACTGATGTTGAGTTTTTTTTAAATAGTTATTTAGCACACATATTTGCCCGAAAAAGAGGATCAGATGGCGTAGTCACTTTTGAATTTGATATTGAAGTGTAAAAAATGTGTTAATTTATTTTTCACTTGCAATTTACTGCACCCCGGGATGTCTTTGGCTGTCTTTGTGTTTTGTTCCCAGCTGAATTTGTATTTGCTGTGGGAATGTTTTTGCATGAGACGTTAATGTTTTTGTCTTGCTCATCCCACAGACCGATTAGTCCCCTGTTAGATCAGAGCACACCAGACTTCACTACGTTCCACTCGGTGGGGGAGTGGCTGGAGGCCATCAAGATGGAGCGATACAGAGACAACTTCACCGCCGCTGGCTACAGCTCACTGGAATCTGTGGCAAGGATGTCAATCGAGTAAGGAACCTGAACATTAAAACACTTGTGGAGGTCAAAGCCACCATAGCCATTTCTGGAGAGTTGTCTTATAATTATTTTCTCATTCAATATCCTTGGACATGCCAGAACTGAATTTAAATTTCATCATTGTGATTCATGAACAAGCCTGTCGAGTTTTACATTTTATTTTTTTAATCCTCCATTTCTCCTTTAATGAAATACCTGGTGCTATAAATCATGAGATGTTTTGAGCCTCTCTGTGGTCCAGTGCTGTGATTTATGATTGGTTGTCTTGTCTTGCAGGGATGTGATGAGCTTGGGGATCACTTTAGTGGGCCATCAGAAGAAGATCATGAGCAACATACAGACTATGAGAGCCCAGATGCTGCATCTCCACGGCACGGGCATCCAGGTGTGATGACAGACTACAGTGCCCCCTGTGGACAGGGGGGCAAAGAGCTATCTAGAGCAGCGCTAGGGCAGAACTTCCCAGGATAATCATAAAAAATCATGTGACGTGACGCTGTCTCCTGTGTCTGACTCTTTTTTTTCCGGATGTTTTGGAATAAAATCATTCCTTTGTTCCTCGGCGAAGGATTTAACCCCTCTTTAGAACGGGTACTAAGGAGAGAATGAGAGAATACTCCCTGGACATGATGCCACTCTGAGAAACTCTCAACCACAAATAGAGATGGAGCTTTGGAGAAGGAGTTTGATGCGTATTACCTTGTTCTTTAAAAAAAACATTTTCCCCTTGCGGTGGTTTTTCAGTATTTTTTCTTCTAGTTTGTTAATTTTGTTAGTTTCAGAATGCACAGTGATATGGTGTGAAACGTACAGTAATCTTACATTTTTCTTTCCCGTTACAATTATTTTCTTCCTTTTTTTATTTTGGACTTGACAAGAGGGTCAACATTCCCATCCAAAAGGACAGAGTGAATATGGTGTCTGAACATTTTGGTGGAGATGATTTAGAGGTTCTTTGACCAGTTTGTCTTGAGACACTCCAGGCTGTTTTAACTGTTTGCAGTGAGTTGTGTTTTTTTTCTCCCTGATGTTTTTGAAGTGAAAATGGTATCCTGCACCTCAGATCAGTGACGTCAGCGATAGTAGTATTCACTTGGTTGTTTCAAGCTTGCAGGAGTGGCTTGCTGTATGCATTTCTCTGAACACAGATGCTCTCGTTGTATGATGAAAACATTTCAAATTTGTATGTAGGAATTGCGAAACAGTATGACACCAACAAGGCAAATCGATTTCAGATTGATCACAACTTTTATATCTAATATCAAGCATCAAAGTGGCAATATTTATGTTTACCACATGAATCATTTTACCTTATTGTCCAATATGCTTTCAATCTGAAATGTTTTGTTGTTTAATTATTTAATTGAACGTTTCCACAGATAGCACTATAGAAAGGTTGTATTGTAACTTAAAGAGATTACTTGATCCACCGCAAAGGGTTTGAAATGCCTAAACAAAAATATGTTGTGTTGCAGCAAATGGTATTTGTTTCATATTTCGGTGAATACAGTTGTGAAGGGTGAATCTATGAAAGGCTGTGTATGTTCTTTGCCTTAAAACTGCCTTAAAACTAATGTATTCCCATTCTTTTTAGGCACTTCTATGGCATTTTTTTTTGTGATTCAATGAGACAGAAGTCTTATGTAGGGTTGAATGGACAAGTTCCCTATTTTCTTTGTGGTATCCTGTCATCCTGAACATGAATCAAATTTAGTGCATGCACACTTACATATGTTGAGTGATGATTAACACAATCAGTGTAGAGTAGAAGATTGAACAGAGCAATAATTAGCCCAGGTAGAAATGGTCCTTCTCTGAGATTTTAAGGTGCTAGGTTTTACAGAAATATCAGTTGTGCTGGGAAAACGCTTTGGAAAAATTCTGTCACCAATAGTAAAATGGAATATGTATTGACCTTTTTCCAGTTGAAGATTACCTGGAGTATAGGCTGGGAGGATAGATTGGTACAGTATACTGGAATACCGAGTTATCAAAATAATGAAATAGTAATGCCACTTACGAAATGGTATACCGTGACATGCTAATGACTTCATAACAATGTCACAGAGTATGAGTATGTTGAGAATATATGGCTGTTACAGTGGGGTGAAATGACATTCAACCAGCAGAGAGTTGCACTTATTAGTCATGACATCATCCTTTCCATTGCAGCACACTGAATTTGCAGGCCTTCGATTCGGTGCGAGGTACCTACAGTAACTAATAATATCATAATATAGTGAAAATCCTGATACTCCTTATTATGATGCTCATACTGTGAAAATCACACACCGTCCCAGCCCTGGCTGGTCAGGAGAGCTAGTCACATGTCTATACTTTAAATGACAAAGAAATGAGTGAACCAACCATTCATCAGAGAATACAAAGCTGAAGAAATATTCAACATGATAACATTCATTTTGTTGTAGAAAGAGAAGACTGATGGCACCATTAGGTTGTCTTTTTAGCACATATTTGCAGAGCCCATTCCTCATCTCTGTGCCCTTCCAGGCAAACAGGGTGATGTAACATGCATAAAAGTGTTTATATGCTTATTTCCTTAACTTCCCTGCCCCTTTGTATGTTAATCAGGGCACAGAGATGAGGAATGAGCTCTGCAAAGATGTGCTAAAAAGACTACCTAATGGTGCCATCACAGTATTCTCTTTCTACAACAAAATGAATGTTATCATGTTGAATATTTCTTCAGCTTTGTATTCTCTGATGAATGGTTGGTTCACTCATTTCTTTGTCATTTAAAGTAAGGAGAATATAGGTATTTCCAATTGCAGTTGTGTAAAAAAAGGCTATATCCAAGGCTGTCTTAATGGACTGATCATAGATCCATATTTTCAAAGCTGCAGCTTTTCCCAATGATTTATTTAAGACGCCCTTCAATATGCCTGTAGAGAATGAATTGGTCTTCAGAAAACCAACCTTGAAACACCATCATGGACTATGGCTGCAAGCTTAGTTTTTGCAAAGCCATTAGTGACTTTGTCTATTCTTTCCTAGATTAATTTCCATTGTGCTCGGTCCAAAGGGACTCACACCTGTGTGGGGGTACCCAGGGAATCAGACCATGCCCAGCCCGCTCTGGGACCCGTGTCACAGACAGACAGACCCATTCTTTATCCATACAGCAAAGCTCAGCATTTGGGTCCATGCCAGCCCTTTGAATTGAATACCAGCGTAAAGGCATTCAGTCAGCACAAAACTCCCCAGTTCACAGGAAGGCAAGCAGGCTCCCTCTTTCGCTCTCTCTCTCTACTCTCCACTGCTCTGATCTTCAACAGCGGGCCCCTAGGGGCCTTCACACCCCAGAGCTGGAGGCCCCCACTCCCCCTCCCCCCTCTCTCTCTGAGTCTGGGGTCCTGTAGAGACAGCAATTTTGAGCCAAATTGAGATTAAGACCTGGATACAATCGATCCGCCATATAAATCATCTGTAACCTTCACAGGCAGTCACCTTTTACTGTCCGCTTTTACTTTGGTTGTTACCCATTTTCTTGTTGAGGATGTTCAAGTCAGGCAGTTCGTGTGGTGAGTTGATTGGATTCAGGAATGAGAACACATTTTAAATACGAAGTAGAATGGTTATTATTTTCAAATCTTTTGGACAAACCATTGGAAATTGTGGACACGCCTTCGCAATGCATAGGTGGTGGATGATTCCAAAGAGTTCAGCACTGTTGATTGTGTCAGAAAGATCAGAGGTCCGAGGGAAACTTTGTATATGTTCTAATTGTAAAACCTGTACATTTTTATTTATATAGTTGTTTTTTTACACACATTACTCTGTAGTGAGCTCTGAATACATTGAAAATGCACTATATTTTTCTATCTCACTTGCAGATGATTATTGTCACCCAGAAGATTTCAGTTGTACATACTTTCTCATTTAGGACCAAAGACAGGTTTTCCATCTAGTTTTTATTTTAGCTTTTAGTTTAATGTACAGTTATATGAATTGTCAATTTATTATTTATTTTACTGTGATGAGAGTATTGAGTATTCATCGGTCAAGAGTATTTTCCCCAAACAGCAGAACTGTAAAATCATTACTTCATAGACGATTTCTTGTTACATAGGACATTTCTTTTTTGCTTTGTAACCTTTGTAATAGACTGTACATATATTTTTGGAAATATAATACAATCTCTATAGAAAACGTTTGTTTCTCATTGGATTCTTTTCCATCATAAATAGCTACTATTATAAAGGATTTCCATGTAAACATGTGGTACAACCTTTGCCCTAAACAGTTTCAAAGTGTTTTATATGTTAATCAGCACACACCATTTTGTAAATCATTCATCAGTGGTCTTTGAAAGTTAAAGTAAGAATACAATCAAAGTAGTTTTGATTCAATCTAAACAAATGTGATGTATGACTGTTTTGTGTTTTTGTGATGGTGTGTGTGTGTGTGCGTGTGTGCATGCGTGCGTGTGACTGAGTGACATGGGAGGGTACAGTCTACATGAAAAAGATAGCTGGGATGGTGTCATTAAGAAGACACTACCAAACCTCCAACATTGCACAAAACATCAAATTAAAGATCCATCCTGAGGGACTTAAACAAAGGAACCTTCATCGATTTATAAGGATTATATCTCCCGTTATTCTAATATTTATTTTATTAAGTTGGAATCGTATCAACATCTCATCCCAAGGGCTGATGGAATGCAATCATTATATAGGTTACATCCCAAATGGTACCTTATTCCCTTTATAGTACACTACTTTCGACCTGTCAGAAGTAGTGTAGTATATAGGGAATAGGGTGCCATTTGGGATGCATCCATAGTGTATGTTTCTAGGGGAGTTTGGCCCCCATCCATGCATGCATTTTTGGGAGAGGAGGAGAGGCTCCATGGCTGCTCCTCTGTCACCATTAATCCCTACAGTACACTACAGCCTGCTAATCGTCCTGCCATCTAACATGGACACAGAAATGTTTGGGTATTTTGATATACACAGTAGAGTTGGACTGATTTAATAGGAACACAGAGTGTTCTTCCATCCTCATGGTTCCTAGTTTGGCAGGTTTATTCTTAGGGTCCATTGGTAGAGGTTGTATGTTATCATGTTTTATTCCATTTTCTCACGACTGCAGGCTGATTGGACATAGTATTGACGTTGAAAACATGCAAACTCCAACAGAACAAGTATAGAAAAGAAGCTCTGCAGGTTTTCCTGTAAAAGTTAGGTTTGATTTCCAATCAGTTGCTTGAGGCGTTGCAATACTTATCTTCTCTATAAAACCCTTTTCTCCATGTTTGAATAGGAAAAGTTCATATCTCCCAGATATACTGCACTGAACTCAACCATTAGACAGAGAGGTAGAAAACTGGAAGACTGCCAATAGAGGATTAAGGGAAATAAATCATTTATATTTGGCAATTCTGCAATAATCTGAAGCACTAGTTTGCCATTATTCATTCAATTCGCATCTAATACCAAGGTCAACATTGATATTGAGATAAATGTTTAAGAGGCAGTTGAAATTGATAAGAATATACTTGGCCTGGATAATATCAGTCTGCCTCTGCAGGTTAAAAGATCATGACCCTTTTAGATAATGAGGGCTCATCATCCAATGGGCAGCTGTGTTCTGCTGGGCAGTATGCTGTACATGGAAATCAGATGAACGGTAACCCACTGGGGACAGAAGTCAATTCAACATCTATACCACGTTGGTTCAACGTAATTTTATTGAAATGACGTAGAAACAATGTTGATTCAACCAGTGTGTGCCAAGTGGGAAGGTTTAACTAAACTACCTGACTTCCTACTTCCTGCTTTCTATAACCCACTTCCTGGTTTGTAATATGAATACTGGAGCTAGTGGACTTGTCTGGACGAAAAGCCAAGGAAAGATATGCAATTTCCACACATAAAAAAATCCCAAAACACAAAAAAGGTGCATGTTGCTAGGGGACACTACATCAAAGGTAATCTGGGCATGTAATTGACTGGGCACTGGACTATTTATTATGTCTGAGCCCAAGGTGACATCGTTGACAGCAGTAATGTTGAAATATGACATGATGAGCATGCAAAGGTGTGTATTTGTTTGTGGGGGGCTTATTGCAGCTAAGGGACAATTATGGATTTGACTGAAGATTCAACTCACATTTGTCCAACATACTATAAATTGAGGATGTTTAATATAGCATTGTTTGAGCGTTTGTTTTTTCCACAAAAAAATGACTAGTACACTGCTCAAAAAAATAAAGGGAACACTTAAACAACACAATGTAACTCCAAGTCAATCACACTTCTGTGAAATCAAACTGTCCACTTAGGAAGCAACACTGATTGACAATACATTTCACATGCTGTTGTGCAAATGGAATAGACAACAGGTGGAAATTATAGGCAATTAGCAAGACACCCCCAATAAAGGACTGGTTTTGCAGGTGGTGACCACAGACCACTTCTCAGTTCCTATGCTTCCTGGCTGATGTTTTGGTCACTTTTGAATGCTGGCGGTGCTTTCACTCTAGTGGTAGCATGAGACGGAGTCTACAACCCACACAAGTGGCTCAGGTAGTGCAGCTCATCCAGGATGGCACATCAATGCGAGCTGTGGCAAGAAGGTTTGCTGTGTCTGTCAGCGTAGTGTCCAGAGCATGGAGGCGCTACCAGGAGACAGGCCAGTACATCAGGAGACGTGGAGGAGGCCGTAGGAGGGCAACAACCCAGCAGCAGGACTGCTACCTCCGCCTTTGTGCAAGGAGGAGCAGGAGGAGCACTGCCAGAGCCCTGCAAAATGACCTCCAGCAGGCCACAAATGTGCATGTGTCTGCTCAAACGGTCAGAAACAGACTCCATGAGGGTGGTATGAGGGCCCGACGTCCACAGGTGGGGGTTGTGCTTAGAGCCCAACACCGTGCAGGACGTTTGGCATTTGCCAGAGAACACCAAGATTGGCAAATTCGCCACTGGCGCCCTGTGCTCTTCACAGATGAAAGCAGGTTCACACTGAGCACATGTGACAGACGTGACAGAGTCTGGAGACGCCGTGGAGAACGTTCTGCTGCCTGCAACATCCTCCAGCATGACCGGTTTGGCGGTGGGTCAGTCATGGTGTGGGGTGGCATTTCTTTGGGAGGCCGCACAGCCCTCCATGTGCTCGCCAGAGGTAGCCTGACTGCCATTAGGTACCGAGATCAGATCCTCAGAACCCTTGTGAGACCATATGCTGGTGCGGTTGGCCCTGGGTTCCTCCTAATGCAAGACAATGCTAGATCTCATGTGGCTGGAGTGTGTCAGCAGTTCCTGCAAGAGGAAGGCATTGATGCTATGGACTGGCCCGCCCGTTCCCCAGACCTGAATCCAATTGAGCACATCTGGGACATCATGTCTCGCTCCATCCACCAACGCCACGTTGCACCACAGACTGTCCAGGAGTTGGCGGATGCTTTAGTCCAGGTCTGGGAGGAGATCCCTCAGGAGACCATCCGCCACCTCATCAGGAGCATGCCCAGGCGTTGTAGGGAGGTCATACAGGCACGTGGAGGCCACACACACTACTGAGCCTCATTTTGACTTGTTTTAAGGACATTACATCAAAGTTGGATCAGCCTGTAGTGTGGTTTTCCACTTTAATTTTGAGGGTGACTCCAAATCCAGACCTCCATGGGTTGATACATTTGATTTCCATTGATAATTTTTGTGTGATTTTGTTGTCAGCA